GCTTTTCCTTATCGTGCTTGCCATTTTCTCTCACCGGATTCTATTCTCTACCTCTACAAATCTCCTAATCGTCCCAGTATGGAATACTGTTTTCATATTAGGACTGGTTCTTTTAATGATGCTTTCTTTTCTAGACAAGGTTCAAAAACCCATTGTAAACGTCAGTCTCCTTTTTTTAGTGTATCTGTCTCTGCATGCTTCAAAAACTTTCATTGTTATTTCCTCGCTCTATAACAATATTCTTTTTTCTAGTAACTCCCAACTTATTAGTGGTTGCTCGCAGCCTTGTTGGAAGTAAATCAGAATAAATAAATATAAATTATATATGTTTAATAACGTCAGCCTTTTTTATGTGCCACAGTGTGTCTAAAAAGAGAAAAAAAAAAAAAAAAGGTCCTCAAAACTAATTCAGGTTACCTAAAAATGTGGGGCCTAGGCCTAAAGGCCCCGCTAAGCCCCTTAATCCAGCACTGATAATCACTGATAATAAAAAAATTAATAAAAATTATAGTAAAGTAAAAAAAGTATGTTTACAATAATTAATACAAATTATATTTATTTATAAATTCAATACAATACTTAATACAAATTAAAGTAAAAAAACTAATACACATATTTATTTATAAATTATATACAATAATTAATACCAATTAATACAAGTTATATTAAAAGTAAAAATAAGTATCTTAACAAAAACTACAATGAAAAAAATAAAAATATTAATGATATTAAATATTGTAATGGTAGTTTAAGCATAAAATAATTTATAATAGTATATTTAAAGTTTTTTACAAATAGTAAAAGTTGTAACCAAATGTTTAATAAATATATATAGTTATTAAACATTTGGTTAATAAATATATATATATTTATTAAACATTTGGTTACAACTTTATTAAATAACAATAAAAAGAAACAATACAGACAAAACCAGCAGCATCATGATGTCCAATTAGTATTTATGGTATTATTGTTATTGTTGTTGATATCAACAACAATAACAATAATACCATAAATAGTAATTGGACAACACTAATAAGAACATCGACAAATATAATAAACAACAGTAGTTATAACTATAGAGATCGGAATAAGATATGGGAAAGAAGTTTGAGGGTATTAAATTGAGGTGCAAAGGACCAAGATTATAACTATATCTTATCCTAACAAAATAAACTCCAAAAACAATAAATCCATATAAAATGCTGAGGGCCTAAAAAAGAACAAAAACGATATTACTATAGTTTTGACCCTACTACTTTTATGATCAATTTTGATAAAAAAATTGTGGATTTGAAATTGATAACATAGGTCATTAGATAAACAAAAAACACTTTATTTCAAATCTCTAAATACATATTCACAATCAATATAAAAATTTGATTCTCAAAGCCTAGGATAAATTAAAAACCATCAAACAAATCAAAATTAAAAAAAAAAACATATTATCAAGGGTAGACTTGTCAGTTTAATATTAGGAGGATTCAATAGTTTAAATTTAAGTACTCACAAGCATTAGATAAATAGCACTTCATTAGCAATAAAGCCCTCAACCTTTCTTAACATGGTTGGGTTTTCTCTGTGGTCAGATTTTTATTTATATATATAAAAAAACACTGTTTGTTGAACTGTTTGTACCCAGCACAAAACAAAATCCACCATTTTCTTCATTTGTCTAAATGGTATTTGTCAAAATGGTATTTCTAGGTCTCTTAATGGTTGGCACAGTTTGTTTTTTTTTATCACTAAATATATTTACATAAAATATTTCAAACCAGAGTTTAATTTTGGTTTATACCGTTGAGTAGATCTAATTTACTATAAAATTGGGACATTTGTTCAAAACTTACCTGCAAGGTTTGCCAACTAATATCGCTTTTAAGATTAAATCTGTTTAAAACAAACAATTGATTTATAGTGGGATAAGCAAAACTCTAAATATTGAATACACTTTTTATAAAAGCTACTAATAAAGGAGTTAAATAAAACTGTTTCAAAGCAACTCTTTTTTTCTAACATTTCTAACTGATTGCATACATTTAGGAATAATAAATAATAATCCATTCTTTTTCTTAATTTAAGTTTTCTATTTAAGAAATTAATATCAGTATTATCAATAATATCAGTATTATCATTTTCAATATTTGTTATTTTAAATCATGGAATAACGCAGCTTAGTTAAGCATCGTTTTTTTTAATTCTCCAGCGAGTTGGGCAAGTAGAGATGTGTTTTGCAAATACCTCTCTACTTATAACAGCAAATACACTTACATAAAATTACAAAACGTATAGTCAAAAAATCTTCATTATTTCATTCACTACTTTTTCTTCTTTTTCATTTTGTAAATTAAATGGATCATATGTGAATTGTGGAGAAATGCTTTAAGTAAACATATTCATGGTTTAGGCAAACCGTTGTATTTTCATCTGTTTTAATCTCAGAACGACTAAGTCTCAAATCTCAAGTTTTCTACATCATTGAGAACTTTCTTGACATCTTTATATTAACCATAGGTTTGTTTGTGACAAAATTAACTGTTTATAAAACCAATTGAATAACTTTCTTTATGATTCATATTGCCATTTTATTTTTTAGTTCTGAAAAATAAATAACTTTAAAACTATTCTTTAAAAACTAATTGACAATCTTCAGCTATTAAATATAAACTTTGTATAAAATTAAAATAGATAATCATTAAGTCAAATATAAGTTTATATTATTAAAACTGTACCTGAGATACTGGAATTCAACTGATCTTAAAAAAAATGTAAAAAAAATTTTATTATTAAGTAACAATATTTGTTATTTTTCGGTTTATTTTTATAAAACTTTCGATGCAAATAAATAAGATTTTCAAAACATCGCAGTTTTTTTTCTTTTTTTTTTAATTTTTTTTTCTTCAAGTTTGTTACATATAGAATTGTTAAATATAGAAGGAAAAAATTTCAGAATCATATCTTTTAGGCATCTCAAGATAAATTTCTTTTTCTACAGGGCATCAGAAAAGTTAAGAAAAGGTCTGCACCATTTTGAAATTGAAACTTCTTGTAGAAAATTTAATTTTGCGGTGCCATCATTTTTTAGTTCTTCATCTTAGAAAATAGTTAGGCACAAAGATTTTCATCACCATGGTTTTCATCACCATGGAACAAATATTACATAAGTAAAAGCTAATTGTGTGATGCAATGTCATGTCGCAGCACAATTGATTTTTTAAATTGCATCACAATCGATTTTTTAAACACATTGAATGTGTTTAAAAAATCAATCACGATGAAAAAAGGTAAAAGAGATTGGGACTAAGTATCCATACCTCTAAATCTATAAGAAGTAGGACACTAAAATTTGGAGTGAAGTTTTTTTCATTGATTTAAGCTTGTTTAACAAAAATCATCAAAATCTGAAATGGCACGCTATCAAAAAACAAAACAAAAAGGGAGCCAAAAAAGAAGAAAAATAAAAATAAAACAGAAACAAAATCAAAACAAATGTTAGATAAAATACTAGATATAATATGATGATAAAACAATAATAATTGTATGTGTAAAAAGAAAAGAAGATGTAGAAAACAATACGAACAACAAAAAACCTGCAGTAGTTACAAAACTAGTATGAAAACAGAAAAACTGACAACATATACTAATTTTAAATATTGGATAAACAGAAATTTTTTTTACAAAAAACAAAACAACAAAAAAAACTATAGCATGATGATTTATATCTTAATGACTTCTTAGAAATCATTTATTCTTTTTTATTCAAACTTGTAGATAATTATTTTTTAAAGTTAATTTCTCAATTATCATTTTTACTGTTAAAACTTTTTTTTTCTCTCTCTCTCCTTTTTTTTTCAAGATAGATAGGAACAAATAAAGAACAGTTGGAGAGATATGATTAAAACAATGTGTGAATGACTTTTCTAATAGCATCATAATGTAACTTTGATAGCAGAATTCTAAGATTTACAGTATCAAATGCCTTCTGCAAATTAATTATAACTCCACAGGTTTTGCCTAAAGCCTTACCTATAGTAACAGTTATACATATGACCACTTGGTTAGCAAGATGCTTTTTGTGAAATGCCTTCTCTAGCTTATACAAACAATTGCACTAACTTATAAAGCTGTCTAATCTTTTGTATGTAATATTTTCATTCATCAAATTGTTCAAATGTATATGTAATATATGTCAGGAGTTTAATCAGTGTATACTTTCATGGAATAAGAATAAGTATTTAATAATGTGCATTTCTAATAGACTTTAATGCTTGTAAAAAGATAATAAATTTGTTCAGCTTGAACATTGTAGATGCAACACGTTTTTTTCAATTTTTTAAAAAACTTATAACGTGCCCAGAATGTTAAAACATGTATGTTGATACTGTTTAAAAAAATCTTGTACTTGACTTTCAAGAACAGAAACCAAAATGTTTGACTGTAATGAGAAACCGTAGATAGAAAAATAAATTAAGGACCTTTTTTAATGAAATGAAAAAATTTGCAACAAGATTAATTACACAGAAGACCAGAAATATATTAATTTTTATCATAACTATCTTGAGAAAAATTCTAATTTTTATCTTATCTATGCTAGATAAAAGACATAATATATATACAAATATATAGGTTTAATAATATATTACTTGACTGCATTATAAGAATAGCATAATTTGTCACTAAACTAGTACAAAGGTAACATTATTAAACTCGATGTTCGATGCTAGAAAAATCCAGAACAGTTTATTACCAGGGGAGAAAAAAAATTGTTCATTATTTATTTTATTCATTTTTGGAACAAAAATATTTTTATAAAGTAACGAATGAATATTACTCCTTGAAAAAATTTTATTTTCATTTTACATTTGATTTTAAATTTTTTATTATTGTAGCATTATACAATGACGATCCTCGGTTTGTACCCCCGTATTACAAAAATTTCAAGATTTTACCTTCCGCTCAGAAACGGTATAAATTGAGAACAACGTATAACTAGAAACAAGTAAAAAAAAAAAAGTCGACAAATCAGTAAGACAAGTGCAAAGAAAAGAGTATTCAACACTATTTCAGATAATAAAAATGTCTAAAGCGCCTGCAATCGGAATTGATCTTGGAACAACATATTCTTGTGTTGGAGTTTTTCAACACGGAAAAGTTGAAATAATTGCTAACGAGCAAGGAAATCGGACGACTCCGAGTTATGTCGCTTTTACCGACACTGAAAGACTAATTGGGGATGCAGCAAAAAATCAAGTAGCAATGAATCCTTCAAACACAGTGTTTGGTAAGAATTACAAAAATTATCTTAATTTTTATTAGATAAGCTAACAATGTTTTAAAGTTTTACCCCTAAAATTTGCATGGAATGGTTGTAAGACTAGCATAAAAGCGAGACACAAGGCTTCATTTTTGCCATTTTTTTTTTTTTTTAGATGCAAAGAGGTTGATTGGAAGGAAATTCAACGATCCATCGGTTACTTCAGACAGAAAACATTGGCCTTTCAATGTGAGTAATTATGTTTGTGCTCTTTTATGTTACTCGTTCTTAGGCATTTCACTCATCCATCATCTGTTTTTTTTTGCAAAGGCTGTTGCGCGATAGAACATACGCTGTAATTAAAACTTTTTTCTCTGTTTTATAGGTTATAGATGAGGGGTCTAGACCAAAAATTCAAGTTGAATTCAAAGGAGAAACTAAATCTTTTTACCCAGAAGAGATATCGTCCATGGTTTTGCTTAAGATGAAAGAAATTGCGGATGCTTATCTCGGTAAAAAAGTTACTGATGTTGTAATTACTGTACCAGCTTACTTTAATGATTCGCAAAGACAAGCGACCAAAGACGCTGGAGTCATTGCCGGGTTAAACGTCCTACGTATTATTAACGAGCCAACTGCAGCTGCTATTGCATATGGTCTCGACAAAAAAGTGGGAAAAGAGAAAAACGTGCTTATTTTTGATTTGGGCGGTGGCACCTTTGACGTTTCCATTCTCGCCATAGAAGATGGTATATTCGAAGTAAAATCAACTGCAGGCGACACTCACCTTGGTGGCGAAGATTTTGATAACCGTCTTGTTAACCATTTTGTTGAAGAGTTTAAGCGAAAGCATAAAAAAGACATTTCTAGCAATAAAAGAGCACTTCGACGTCTAAGAACAGCGTGTGAAAGAGCCAAGAGAACACTTTCAGCAAGTACGCAAGCGAGCGTTGAAATTGACTCGCTGTTTGACGGTATTGATTTTTACACGTCAATTACTAGAGCACGTTTCGAAGAGTTATGTATTGATTTGTTTAGAGGTACTCTTGGCCCCGTTGCTGATGCTATTAGAGATGCTGGAAAAAACAGCAACGGTCAGAACTTTTCCAAGTCTGATATACATGAGGTTGTTTTAGTTGGTGGTTCCACTCGCATTCCAAAAGTACAAAGTCTTCTCCAAGAGTTTTTCAACGGAAAAGAACTTAACAAATCTATTAATCCAGACGAAGCTGTAGCTTACGGTGCTGCCGTTCAAGCGGCTATTTTAGCTGGCGATAAACATGAGGCTGTTCAGGACCTTTTACTTCTTGATGTTGCTCCTTTATCACTTGGAATTGAGACTGCTGGAGGAGTGTTTACTCCGTTGATTAAGAGAAACACTACTGTTCCGACAAAGTATTCTCAAATATTTTCTACGTATGCTGATAATCAACCTGGTGTCCTAATTCAGGTCTTTGAGGGTGAAAGAAGCATGACAGCTCATAATAACTTACTTGGTAAATTTGAACTTTCTGGAATTCCACCTGCTCCTAGGGGAGTCCCTCAAATTGAGGTAACCTTTGATGTCGATGCCAATGGTATTTTAAACGTTTCTGCGTTGGACAAGAGCACTGGAAAAGAAAACAAGATCACTATCACGAATGATAAAGGTCGTCTTTCTAAAGAAGACATCGAGAGAATGGTTCAAGAAGCAGAAAAGTACAAAGCTGATGACGATCTTCAGCGAGACAGAGTTCAAGCGAAGAACTCTTTGGAGAGCTACTGTTATAATATGAAGCAAACTGTAGAAGACGAAAAAGTTAAAGGCAAAATCAGTGAAGAAGATAAAAAAACAATTCTAAAAGGTTGCAATGAAACAGTAGAGTGGCTTGATAGAAATCAAGTAAGTTATTTGTTGTTGTTTATTTTTGACAACTTTTGCCATAATAATATCTTAACTAAGAAATTGCAACTTTGATGTTTTGAATTTTTTATTCTGATTTTTCATTTTTTATTTTTTTTATTGATGCAGACTGCCGATAAAGACGAGTTCGAACACAAACAAAAAGAACTTGAAAAGGTATGCAACCCTATTATTACAAAACTTTATCAAGCTGGCGGAGTTCCTGGAGGTATGAACGGTACCATGCCAGGAGGTATGCCTGGTGGCTCTTACAAACCTAGTTCTGGCGGACCAACTATAGAAGAAGTTGATTGAAAGTCTCTTTTTAGCGTGTTAATAAATTTTTTTTTACTGTTTGTACGATATTTGTAAATACTTTTAAAAGCATGTACATTTTATAGAGATAATAAAAACGACAATTTTTAATGCTGTTGTTGCTTTCTTACGTGTCAGTTTGACTATTAATACGTTCATAATGTCGAATAGAGAGCATAATGTTCATAATGTCGAATAGACCTAGTTAAACCCAAGATGATTATTTTGATTACTCAACTAAAGGCCTCAAGGTAGGGGAATTTTATCTGGATGAAGTTAAAATCTGCCGAAAATGAGTGTTTTTATCGATACACCATCTCTAGTCTTTACTCAAACAAGTGCTCCAAGGTAGGGAATTTTTAAATTGGAATTTGTTTCTTCTAACCTTAAAAAGCACACTTTACAAGGCAGCAGCGCTGCCTTGTAGACTGTGCTTGAAACAGGGCATAAAACAAATAATCCCTCAAAGCCCTTTAAATTAAATTAAATCTAATATAAACTAATTATTATACAAATAACTACACTGAAACGTATAAATTAAACTAAACATAAAACAATTAACTTCACTAAACTGTATAAACTACAATTAAAAACTCATTAACAAGCCTATTATTTCCTTCTTTATTTATTAAAAAAATATATAAATTTTGATCTGTTATTTTTTACCTTACTTAACAAAGCAGTTTTACCCTATTAGACACACTTGTAGATATAGGGTAACGCGCGGCAAAATGAGACAGCGGGGCAATACGAGACAGTTCGCGTTTAACATGATGCTAGCCCTACAAATTATTATTTGCAAGATTTTTAAAAGTGCAGTTGTGTTCAAAAACTATTATGTGTCAAGAAAAATATATTGAGTCACTTTGAAATAAAAAGTTGAGTAAATGGGGAATCATTTCATCTCTCGGCTTCGCGAAAATTACGAACTTTTAAGTGTTGTTATTATATTTTTTCCTAGCCTTTTTTGATCTCACTGAGTGGAAAAGCTTTTTATATTAAAAGTTTTTTTTAAATTAGAATCTTTAGGCCTTTTTCTTTCATTTCCATTCTTTTGTATTTTATTTCTTCAATAAAATTGTCTGGAAATTAGGCTATTCGATGCCAACATGATGCGGGGCAAAACGAGACACTCTATTTGTATTTTTTTTTTGCCGATATCTAATATTATGTTTATTTAATTTTTTACATTTAAACAACAAACAAAGCAAATATTAAAATTTACATGCTGCAGATTTAAATTTATTATACTATATTTACTTATTTTTATTTTGATAATTGATATGTTTAGTTGTTATCCAATATAGAATTACGTTTTATATTTTGTTAACTTATATTTAAATATAATAAATATTTAATCAAGTTGAAGCAAATAACTACCTGATGTTTATAATTACTATGTTTGTATTTTATAACCTTATTGTATTGTAATGTAATAAAGTAAGTAGTATATAAAATATATAGTGAGTAGATTATAACATAAAGGTTATTGCAGTACATATAAACAAAATTCAATGAATGTTACGCGTGCTTTAAATACAAAAGTTTAATATATGCATGTATAGTTTTATTAGTTCTTGTAGTGGATATATATATATATATATATATATATATATATATATATATATATATATATATATATATATATATATATATATATATATATATATATATATACACTTATTAATAAGTCTAATTCACTCTATATATCAGTTTATCACAAAAAAACATACACGGGTCTTTTACAAAATTTCTTTAGTTTTGTCCCTTCATGTTACAAAACTGGTCTTATAAGTTGCTTGATTGATCAAACATATAAAATTAACAACACATGGTTTGGATTTGATAAGGATATAAAAAATCTTTCTTTAGTTTCAAAAAATAATCAATTTCCACAAAAAGTTATCGACACTGAAATTAAATTATATGTTGAAAAGAAATTTAATCCACCTGTTATAAATACTGTTGATAATACTAATATAAGATATTTTAAGCTTCCATTTATTGGATTTTACTCAAATTTCACTAAAACTAAAATTGATAAAATTATTAAAAAGTATTGTAAAAATGTAATAATCAAATTTATATTCACAACCGATAAATTAAAAAACAGTTTTTGCATAAAAGATCCACTTCCTAAGATGCTTAAATCTAACGTTGTCTACAAACTTTCTTGTGCTGGCTGTAACGCCAGTTATATTGGAGAAACCTCCAGACATTTGACAACAAGGATAAATGAGCATCTTACGAGTGACAAGCAATCGCATATTTTTAAACATTTAAATTCATCAATTAATTGTAAAACACTAACTAATTATGATTGCTTTCAGATTTTGGATACTGCCTCTACCATTAACAAATTAAAAATAAAAGAAGCACTTCATATTAAATGGGAAAATCCTTCTTTAAATAAACAAACATCTCATTATATTATAAATTTATCTATCTAACATACTATATTATTATTATTATTATTATTATTATTATTATTATTATTATTATTATTATTATTATTATTATTATAATATTAGGAAGTTCATTTTGTCATAATTTGTAATATAATTTTTAATTGGTTTGTAACAAGTTTATTTGTCCGTTAATTTTTTCTCTGTATTGTCTTCAGTTTTTAAATTTAATTACCAGAGTTTTAATTGTAAATTGAATCTTTTAAAAATGTAGTATACTACATTTTTATGTAAATCTTGTAATTATTACATTTTTTTGTAATTATTACACTTATTAAATCAACGAAACATGTTTCGTAGTCTTATAAGACTACGAAATATGTCAAGAATAAAAAATATTGTGATTTTTATTAAAATTTTTACAAATTTATTGCTAATGCGATGTTCGAAAAAAAAAAAAAAAAAATATATATATATATATATATATATATATATATATATATATATATATATATATATATATATATATATATATATATATATATATATATCGTCGGGGATAGTGCAAAACCGCGTAACTAGCATTTTATAATACCGCGTATCTACAGTACATTTTTTTTACTGGAGAAGTTTAAAACTTTATTTATTTTTTATTTTAAATGATTTTGGGTTCATTTTAGTAAAAAGAGTATTCGTATTTTTTTTAATCTCAACAATAAATATTTGGTGTTAAAGTTAATAATATCCAATTATAGTAGCTAATGCTAGTTACGCGGATTTGAACTTTCCCCGACGATATATATATATATATATATATATATATATATATATATATATATATATATATATTATATATATATATATATATATATATATATATATATATATATATATATCCACTACAAGAACTAATAAAACTATACATGCATATATTAAACTTTTGTATTTAAAGCACGCGTAACATTCATTGAATTTTGTTTATATGTACTGCAATAACCTTTATGTTATAATCTACTCACTATATATTTTATATACTACTTACTTTATTACATTACAATACAATAAGGTTATAAAATACAAACATAGTAATTATAAACATCAGGTAGTTATTTGCTTCAACTTGATTAAATATTTATTATATTTAAATATAAGTTAACAAAATATAAAACGTAATTCTATATTGGATAACAACTAAACATATCAATTATCAAAATAAAAATAAGTAAATATAGTATAATAAATTTAAATCTGCAGCATGTAAATTTTAATATTTGCTTTGTTTGTTGTTTAAATGTAAAAAATTAAATAAACATAATATTAGATATCGGCAAAAAAAAAATACAAATAGAGTGTCTCGTTTTGCCCCGCATCATGTTGGCATCGAATAGCCTAATTTCCAGACAATTTTATTGAAGAAATAAAATACAAAAGAATGGAAATGAAAGAAAAAGGCCTAAAGATTCTAATTTAAAAAAAACTTTTAATATAAAAAGCTTTTCCACTCAGTGAGATCAAAAAAGGCTAGGAAAAAATATAATAACAACACTTAAAAGTTCGTAATTTTCGCGAAGCCGAGAGATGAAATGATTCCCCATTTACTCAACTTTTTATTTCAAAGTGACTCAATATATTTTTCTTGACACATAATAGTTTTTGAACACAACTGCACTTTTAAAAATCTTGCAAATAATAATTTGTAGGGCTAGCATCATGTTAAACGCGAACTGTCTCGTATTGCCCCGCTGTCTCATTTTGCCGCGCGTTACCCTATATCTACAAGTGTGTCTAATAGGGTAAAACTGCTTTGTTAAGTAAGGTAAAAAATAACAGATCAAAATTTATATATTTTTTTAATAAATAAAGAAGGAAATAATAGGCTTGTTAATGAGTTTTTAATTGTAGTTTATACAGTTTAGTGAAGTTAATTGTTTTATGTTTAGTTTAATTTATACGTTTCAGTGTAGTTATTTGTATAATAATTAGTTTATATTAGATTTAATTTAATTTAAAGGGCTTTGAGGGATTATTTGTTTTATGCCCTGTTTCAAGCACAGTCTACAAGGCAGCGCTGCTGCCTTGTAAAGTGTGCTTTTTAAGGTTAGAAGAAACAAATTCCAATTTAAAAATTCCCTACCTTGGAGCACTTGTTTGAGTAAAGACTAGAGATGGTGTATCGATAAAAACACTCATTTTCGGCAGATTTTAACTTCATCCAGATAAAATTCCCCTACCTTGAGGCCTTTAGTTGAGTAATCAAAATAATCATCTTGGGTTTAACTAGGTCTATTCGACATTATGAACATTATGCTCTCTATTCGACATTATGAACGTATTAATAGTCAAACTGACACGTAAGAAAGCAACAACAGCATTAAAAATTGTCGTTTTTATTATCTCTATAAAATGTACATGCTTTTAAAAGTATTTACAAATATCGTACAAACAGTAAAAAAAAATTTATTAACACGCTAAAAAGAGACTTTCAATCAACTTCTTCTATAGTTGGTCCGCCAGAACTAGGTTTGTAAGAGCCACCAGGCATACCTCCTGGCATGGTACCGTTCATACCTCCAGGAACTCCGCCAGCTTGATAAAGTTTTGTAATAATAGGGTTGCATACCTTTTCAAGTTCTTTTTGTTTGTGTTCGAACTCGTCTTTATCGGCAGTCTGCATCAATAAAAAAAATAAAAAATGAAAAATCAGAA